TCTCTCTTGTTCTAGCCTCTGATCTGTAGCCAGCATTCAGCCAGCAAGGGAGCCCTGGTTTTGCGATTTTTAGAGGTCAGTCTCCCGGGGCACAGAGCATATCAGAGGAAGCTGGAGAGCGAATGGATGGGTGAGTGTCGACTACAGAATAAACAGCAGACAGCGGTTTATTCTTCATGTACAGCGGTTTATTCTTCTATCTAGCTATCTATCATATACAGCTCTCGATCTCACTTTTCCCACTTGATATTATGTCTCGGATAGCTTTCAAATCTTTGGCATTTATGGATAGACTTGATTTTTTTTCATGCTACAGAATATCCCTTTGCGGAATGTTATATAATTTAAGTTACCGGTACCTGTATTGTTTCCAGTTTTTCTGCCATTACAAACCACACAGTGACGTATGAGCCTCCTGGGGGGAGACGCCTGGGTTTAGACTTTGACTTTCCCAAGCGAAGCCTGCCCTTTCGAGGGCAGAGGGTTGGTTGGTTGTGAATGTCAGGACTGGGGAGGTGGGCGTGGGAGGGTGTCAGGGGTTGCTGAGGGTGGGTGTCATCTGCAGAGATCTTGGTCATTTCTCCAGGGCAAGTTGTCCCTCAGTAGGCCACATACTGAAAATTGTCACAGATGCAAATGTGGGCTGCTAACTGGCATCCTGTGGGCACCCAACATCCACCTACCAGCTGTAAATTGTACTTAGGCACAAGCCACCTGACTTCCGGTGTTTCTGGAGTTTCGGGGAGGGGCGGAGGTGCAGCAGTGTAGACCTGCTGAGGATCTGAGCACTTTCTTGGCTCCCCAGCCAGGCTGATAGATGAGCTGAAACTTAGGGGGTGAAAGGGTGGGGTGAGGCTGGGAGCTGGGGAAGTGTCTTCCGGAAGCCAGGGCTCCCAGGCAGAACCAGCAAGTTCTTTGCCCGGGGATCACCTCCCTCCCAGGGTCAGGGACAGTCAAGTTGATGTAAGTCCCTGTTCTGCAGGGTGGAAACTGGTTCCCTCCCATTTGACAAGTCCACTTTAGGGATCTGGGCAGCAGGTTTGGGGGTTGACAGCACATGACACGATTCACTTCTTGCCCTTTCTCAGGAGGCTTGCACGCTATATGGCCTAATTCTGCAGGTTCTTTGTTCTGGCTGAGTCACCCAGGCCCTGCCAGCCTCCATCTCTGCCCTTTCCCACCTTCCCTGCCCTGCACTTGGTTCCCACCAAAGACTTGGCAGGTCACCGCTAAGGCCCCTCTGCCCCAGCACCTCATGGTGGGTTGTATGGCCCTGCTTTCTACTGTCGCTGGGACATGAGCTGACATGGTCAGCAGACATGGGTCAGGGCCCAGCTCTGCTGCTGGCCGGATGAGTGGCTCTGTGGGGCTGCAGTTGTCCTGCACGCATGGGGACAGGGAGAGACAACTCAGACTCCTGCTGGCTCTTAGTCTGAGGCCC